TAAGGCAGGCACCAGTGTCCACACCCCCTGTTCCTGGTGGGGATTGGGAGCCTCTCCTGCCATGCCTGTGCCTTCTCCATGGCCTCAGCTTCCACAGGGTGGCTCCTGGTGCTGGTTCCAGGAGCATCGACCCTTCCCTATGTGGATGGAGCCTGGTGGTGGCATCAGCGTCCCGCCCTTCCTGATCTCGGGATTGCCAACCTTCTCCTTGTTTGGTTTCTTTAATTAATTGATTAATTAATTAATTTTTGAGACAGAGTGTCACTTTTTCACCCAGGCTGGAGTGTAGTGGTGTGGTCTTGGCTCACTGTAACTTCTGCCCCCAGATTCAAGCGATTGAATCCAGTCGTTGGTTTACTTGCGCCCACCACCATGCCCGGCTATCGTTGTTTGGTTTCTTAACTTGTCCTTGACCATGTTCCTGTGTTGGTTTCCTGTTGCTGTGGCAGAAAGTTATCCCAAACATGGTGGCAGGAGAGAATACACTGACTCCTTCCACTTTTAGAGTCAGAAATTGGATCCAGTTCTCCCTAAAAACAAGGCATCTACAGAACTGTGTTCCCTCTGGAGACTCCGCAGAGCGGTTCTCTTGACTTCTCCAGCCTGTAGAGGCCACCAGCCATTGTGGCTCGTGGTCTTCCTCCCCCTTCAAAGCCCACAGTGGCTGATGGAGTCTCCTACGACGCTGCTGTAATCCCCACTCCCTTCTTCCTCCTCCTCTCACGAGGACCATTGTGATTACTGTGAGCCCAGTGGGACAGTCCAGGCCGTCTCCCCATCTCAAGGTCAACTCATCAACAACCTGAGCTCTATCTTCCCCTTCAGTCCCCTGCCCTATAGCATAAAGAGCCACAGGCTCCAGGGATTAGAATGTAGCCATATTGGGGACAGTTATTCTTCCCATCACAGCACCCATTTCCCTGAGTTCAATCCCCCTTTACCCCAAAGACAGTGAGGTCCTGGGTGATGAGACCCTGGTGGACACCCCCAGCAGAAGCTGTGGGATTCGGGAGGTGGGACAAGGAGAAGCCCAGACAGGAGCCCTCTGACCTGTGACCCTGATAGCCAGGGGGTCACTGAGTGCCGACCACTCAGTGGGGGAGTGCGAGTATGAGCCCCGACATCTGTAGGTCCCTGCGTGTGCCGGCGTCACAGGGCCCATGAGGAAGCTCTCCTGGAATATTCTGCTGTGGAAGACGGGAACATGGCTTCTGTCGTCTTTGTACAGAGTGAAGTTGGTAAAGTTGTTAAGTCCATCACGATAGTAACACCGAAGGGTCACGTGTCCTCCCTGAGGCACCACAGCGCTAGGCCGGGCAAACAGGAAGGTCTTGTCCTGACCACCTGGGGGAGAAGGAGGCGCCACCTTAGAGAGGAGGATGTGGAGTTGCCCTTCCCTCCCTGTGCTCAGAAGATTCTTCCCCTTTCCATGTTTCTAAGGCTTCTACCACACCTGGGTGTCCAGGGCTACAGGAAGAACCTATCCAGCATGGACATGGTGCCTCCCTACAACAAAGGTGTCAGCTGAGAGCTTTGAACAAGTGCTTAATAAGGGACTCTTACTAGATTTTAACACTTCAAGATGACTCACATAAAACAACACAAAGTAGACACGGCATGGAGGGCATGTCCTTTGTGAATGGAACATCAGTCAGTGCATGAACTGAGCCCCCATCAGAAGATTTGGAATGTCAGGGTCATGGCTGTGGTTTCCCCACCTCTTCTGGTAGAATGACAGCAGCCACACTGCAGCCCTGACCGTCATGGAAACACTGGAGGGTGTGAGTTACACCTTTGTCTTCAGAGGACCTGCTGTTCCTAGCACTGCTTCCCTCCCTTCCTCAGTCGCTGACACCACTTCCTCCCTGCACACCTCAGCATGGAGCGCCTCAATCTCACCCCGGTCTTCCCAGAGCTTGACTCAGCCAAGGGTAAGAAAGGCCAGAGAGGACGAGGTCAGAAGTGTGGGCCGAGCACCCCAGTTTCCCCCCTTCTTAGTTTATGAGAGACTGTCTGACAGGACTTCCCTCCTGTTTCAGGAAAATCCTCTTAGGTGTGGAGATGACACCCTAAGGTTTGGGGAAGGACTCACCCGTGTATGGACAGGCCCTCTGGACCAAGAAGAACCCTGGAAAGAAAGATCATGAGGGATGATCCATCTGCAGGCAAACCAGGGCCTCCCCTGCTGCCCCCACTGGGCTGTGCGTCTGGGCAGCCAGGCCCTTGCTGGGCTGAAGGTAAACTCACCGTGGCTGCCTACCTGCCCCGGCAAGAGGGATCTCAGCTGTGCAGAGACCCAGCCTCCTGATCCAGATCTGCACCCCAGGCCTAGATCTACGCAACAAGCCCATATCTCCTCTCCATGCTGATATCTCTACTCCAGGCCCATATCTCCACTCCAAACCCATATCTCCCTTCCAGGCTCATATCTGCACTCCAGGCCCATATCTCCACTCCAAACCCATATCTCCCTTCCAGGCTCCTATTTCCACCACAGGCCCATATCTCCACTCCAGGCCCATATCTCCACTCCAGACCCATATCTCTACTCCAGGAACATATTTCCACTCAGGCTCCTATCTCCACCCCAGGCCCAGATCTGCAGCCCAGGCCCATATCTCCACTCTAGACCCGTATCTCCACTGCAGGCCCGTATCTCCACTCCACGCTCATGTCTCTACTCCAGGATCCTATCTCTATTCCAGGTCCATATCTCCACTCCAGGCCCATATCTCCACTCCAGGCCCATATCTCCACCCCAGGCCCATATCTCCTCTCCAGGCTCATATCTGCACTCCAGGCTCATATCTCCACTCCAAAGCCATATCTCCCCTCCAGGCTCATATCTCCCCTCCAGGCCCGTATCTCCACTCCAGGTCCATATCTCCACTCCAAACCCATATCTCCCTTACAGGCTCCTATCTCCACTCCAGACCCATATCTCTACTCCAGGAACATATCTCCACTCCAGGCTCCTATCTCCACTCCAGGCCCAGATCTCCAGCCCAGGCCCAGATCTCCACTCCAGGCCCATATCGCCACTCTAGACTCATATCTCCACTGCAGGACCGTATCTCCACTCTACGCTCATGTCTCTACTCCAAGATCCTATCTCTATTCCAGGTTCATATTTCTACTCCAGGCCCAAATCTCCACTCCAGGCCAATATCTCTATCCCAGGCCCATATCTCCACCCAGGCCCAGATCTCCACTCCAGGCCCATATCTCCATTCCAGGCCCAGATCTCCACTCCAGGATCATATCTCCA